AAAAATCATAAATGGGGTTTGAATTTTGTCAGTTGCGTTTTCTGAAGCTATTGAGATGACCATATGATTTTCTTTTTTGTTTGTTAATAATCTGTTATTATGATGAAGGCCATTGATTCTCTGACATTAAACCAACCTTGCATTGTTGAGATAAAAGTACGTGGTCACAATGTATTGCCCATTTTATACATTACTGAATTTGATTCAGTAATATTTTGTTAAGAGTTTTTACATCTAAATTCATGAGGGATGTAAGCCTGTAGTTTTTTTTTCCGTGTAAACTCTTTGTCTGATTTTGGTATTTGGGTAATACCGGCCTCATAAAAAACAATTTCTTCCTTTCTGTATTTTCTGAAGATTATTTGTGTAAAATTGATATTGTCTCTAACATAAAGGTTTGATAGCATTCAGCTGGGAAACCATTGGAGCTTGGGACTTCTTTTAGGGGAGTGTTTTCAATTGTGAATCTAATGTCTTCAATTGACACATGACTCTTCAGGTTTTCTATTTCTTCCTGGTTCCATTTGGTCACATGTCCATTTTATCTAAGTTGCTGAATCCACTGGCACTAACTTGTTTACACTATTCCTTTTTTATCTTTTTAGTGTGTGTAGAATCTGTACGGATACTCATTTTCATTCTTGATGTTGTAATTAGTTTCTCGCTCCTGTTTTCCTTGATTAGCCTAATTTAGAAGATTGTCAACTTTATTGATATTTTCAATAACTAGGTTTTGGTTTAACTGACTTTTCTCTATTATTTGTCCATTTTCAGTTTAATAATTGCCTAATCCTATCTTCCTTGCCAGGTCGTTGTCCCTTCCTATCCAACTCCTGCCCACCAGGCACACACAGTCCTTTCTTTTCCTGTATCCTTATGTATCCTAGGACACTTCTCTGATATAACATATCACAATTTATCCTCAATGTCTCTGGGCTTGTGTCTTTGATTAGACTGGAGCCCCTCAAGGGTGGCACCGTGTCTTCTGCCATAGTCTCTTACACGTGGTAGACATTCATCCCGGGTCAGTGAGTGAGTGATTGGATGGATGAATGAATGCTATTCTGAGCAGTTTGTATAAATGATGAGAGTGTGGGCTGTGCATCCATGTAGCTCTTCATTCGAATCCTGGATGTGCCACTTCCTGGGTGTGTGTCTTAGGCCAGTCACCTAACTGCTCTGAGCCTTGTTTATGAAAACAGGGCTTTCCTTGTAGGGCTCTTAAGAACGTTAGAGTCAATGTGTATGGATCATTTAGCAGAGCATTCAGCACTTAGTAGTTGCTCAATAGAAGGTAGCCATTGAAAGACCTTTCATTTTAACTTGAATTATAAGTTGTAGTATGCCTAGAAAATAATTTTTTCTGTGATTCCGTGCCCATTATGATTTTTGGAATAGTCTTCTCTCAAAGTAAGGAGTGCAGAGAAGTGCATTGCTTCTTGTTACATTGTGATTAGAAAAACCTTGAACATCCTGTGTCTTTTGCCTTACCAACCCACTTTTATGGTTTTATTAAAATATTCTAATTTTATTGGGCTGAGGAGGCTTTTTGTTTCTTTTTTTAATCAAAGAAGAAAGATAATAATAATAATTTCACAGAGCCTTTTCTATACTTGATTTTCATAAATTAGACAGATATTTTCCCCCACAATTATATGTTTTCCTTGGTTCTCTTCAGAGTAAAGAAAGAGCCAATTTCAACAAAATGGAAACACAGACTATTTCCTCTTTGTTATATAGTACCTGACAGTTGTCTCTCTCTGTGTATTTTTTGCTCAGTTCTCAGGTGATTTCTCCTACATCACTCCCTGGAGGCAACTTTTAAGTTTACCTTAAAAAAGCCAGTATGACATTTTTTGTTACCTTACAGATTTTGGCTTTTCAAGGCCATTGTTGAGAATCTGGCTGTTTCCTTAGCCACCATGCCTGCAATTTGAGGAAGCTGCTATATATGTGTTAGATGATGGGTGGGCTTCACTTGTTTATTAGTTAATTCATTTAGACATTCATTCACTCAATGTTTGCTGAGCTTTCTGAGGTCTTGTTCTAAGCACAGAGCCTGGCACTCAGAGAGTACCCAGAAAGTGTTTGAAAAGATGAAAGAAAGAATAGACCAAGCAAATGAAAGTCCGTTGGATTTAGGAAGTCATTATAGAAAGGCTTATTGGGATGTGTGTGTGTGGGGTCTGACCTTCTGCTGACGACAAGGGGGTTTTCAAACCGTGTAAGACACGTTCACGAGAAACCAGCAATCCTTTTGAGATGATAGGACAGTGCTTCATGCTATGGGAAAAGGATTTGGGATTTTGGTGAGTCCAAAATATAATCCTAGAGTATTAAAAAAAAATCTGTATTTTATTGAGCCCTTTTTAAGTGAGGAGGTATAGAAGCATTCTTGGAAAAGGTGTGGCTTTATCTGGGCCATGAAGGAGGAGTAACATTTGTGTAGGTTTAGGGAATCAGTGAAGATATTCCTGCTAGTACCAAAGTTGAAGGGAACCTGTAAACATGTAGGCATGGAAGATACCTTGAGGAGTGGTGGGAAGTAAGCTTTTAAAATGGACTGAAGGACTTGAACAGACATTTTGATGCTCAATATCACTAGTCGTTAGGCAAATGCCAATCAAACCAAAATGAGATACTACTTCACACCTACTTGGAAGGTTAGTATGAAAAAACAAAAACCAAAAAAGACCCCCTAAAACAGAAAATGACAAATGGTGATAAGGATGTGGAGAAATTGGAACACTTGTGCACTGTTGGTGGAAATATTAAATGATCAGCCACTGTGGAAAATGGTATGGTGATTACTAAAGCAATTAAGTATATATAAATAAACGTATACCAAAAGAGTTGAAAGCAAGGTCTTGGAACAGATATTTGCACACCTATGTTCATAGCAGCATTATTTCCAGTAGCCCAAAGGTGGAAGCAACTTAAGTGTCCATCGACAGATGAACGGATAAACAAAATGTGGTCTATATATAGAGTGGAATATTATTCAGCCTTAAGAAGGAAGTGAGTTCTGACACAGGCTACAACATGGATGACCCTTGAAGGCATTATGCTAAGGGAAAAAAGCCAGTCACAAAGGACAAAAACTGTATGATTCCCCTCATATGGGGTCCCTTGTTGTTAGTGTCCTCAAGTTGATTTTGACTCCTAGTGACCCTAGTCTGTCTTAGTCTGGAGGCACCGCTGAAACCTGTCCACTATGGGTGACCTTGCTGGTATTTGCAATACTGGTGGCATAGCTTTCAATATCACAGCAACACACAGCCACCACAGTATGACAACAGACAGTTGAGTGTTGTAGTTCCCTGATGGGGAACCAAACCCGGGCTGTGGCAGTGAGAGTGCCGAATCTTAACCACTAGACCACCAGGGCTGGCTATGTGAGGTCCGTAGAGCAGTCAAATTCATAGAGGCATAGAGTAGAATGGTGGTTGCCAAGGGCTGGGGGGAGGAGGAATAGGGAGTTAGTGTTTAATGGGTACAGAGTTTCAGTTTGGGAAGATAAAGTTCTGGAGATGGATAGTGATGATGGTTGTACAACAGTGTGAATGTACTTAATGCCACAGAACTGTACATTTAAAAATGGTTAAAATGGTAACTTTTATGTTTATATTTATTTTCCCATGATAAAAAGTGTGAAAGAAAAAAAAAAGGAAATGGCACTGAAATCCATTTCCCATTTCTTCCTATTCTAAGCCACGTTGCCTCAGGTTGTCCGGTTGTGAGGTTTCAGTGAGAGAAACGAGAGGGGCCCCAGTTGGGCGTTGTCCATGCCAGACCTGTTGCTCTGTGCTCACACAGTGTGCTCTGGCTTCCACTCACTACTGCTTTTCTGGAAGATTCTTCCACTAGAGTCATTAGTGACTAATCGCCAAATGCTGTGGACATTTTCTCAGACCTTTTGTCATGTGGCTTGGCTGCAGCAGTGGGCATTCTGGTCTGTCTTCCCAAAGCTCTGCCCTCCTTGGTTTCTATGACACCAGCCTTTGTCTCTTGTTGCTTGTGCTCTGGGTGTCATGTCTAGGAAACTATTCCTAATCCACGGTCACAGAGATTGACTCCTATGTTTTCTTCTTAGAGTTTTATCAGCAAACTTTTTATGTGAAGACGATATAGTAAATGTTTTAGCTTTGCTGGCCACATATGGTCTCTGTTCTTTATTCTTTTTGGTTTTGTTGTTTTATTTTGTTTTGTTTTGTTTTACAACCTTTTAAAAAATGTGAAAACTGTTCTCAGCTCCCAGGGCATACAAAACCAGGCTGCGGGCCAGATCTGGCCCATGGGCTGTAGCTTGCTGATGTCTGTTCTAGGACCTTACTGTGGAAGATTGAGTCATTCTGGTGAGGAGTAGAGCTAGGTTTGAGGTTTCTTGTTGCTATGGATACTTTTGGTGCACCACAGGCTCCAGATTGTAGTGGGAGGAGGAGAAGGAAGTAGGGGCTGCTGAGATGCCTGAGGATTTTGGGTAATGGTCCCCTCCATCCTCAGCCCTCCCTCCCTGCCAGCACCATGGGCGGGGTCTCTCCACACCTTTGTTCCTCCCTCCTTCTTCTGGGGTGCCTGCTAGGTCTGTGGCAGGAGCAGATGAGGTCTCTCTGTTGTCCTTGTCCTGCGCTGTGCACCTGGGGCATATGTGTGGGGCTCTCTCGGCATTCCTGCTCCTCCTCCCCGTGTCAGCCAATCTCTGCCTAGTATCGTGATGTGCGTTGTGTATGACCGGGTTTCCGGCCCCTGCCCCGAGGTAGGAGACCTCTGATGGCATTGGTATAGGATCCTGGCTCGAGACTGGCTCCTGGCCCTCCCCGCAGCTTCTGCCCTCCCCATGGTAGACTGGATATTTACCCCTGCATTTGTGCCCTTGACGTTTGCTACCCTTTCACCAGAAGCTTAAGATTTTGCTTCATAGGAGAGAAGAGTCTGGATGGGGTGGGTTTGAGGTGAGAGTTGAGGCTGGGGTTTCGGTTTCTTGCCTTTCCTGGTGGCAGCCAACCCCCTCGTCCATGCCTGTACCATTGAGGGAGGCTCCCACTGTTCTCCTGCCCACCCCTGCCAGTCCTTCTGTGAGCACCCTGGGAGCTCCATGGAGAAAACCCTGGAGTGGGTGGGAACTGCCCTCATGTCTGGGCTTCTGGGGGGTCTTCGCTGTCATTGAAGCCCCTACTCAGCCTTCAGTAATTCTTTAACGTCTGAGCTGATTCCTTCCAGTCAGCTTGTATGGTGGCTGGCTCTGCCCCTGATGAGACTGTGTCCCCACTCTGTCCATCCTGGAATGGTCTTGTCCATCCTTGGCCTTCTGGCTCTGTGGTTGCCCTATGACCTTATCTCTTGATGGGTTCAAGGCAGCATCATGAATTTGTAGCTTGTCGGCTTTATTCACTGTTAGCCTGGGAGCCATGCTCTACCTCCTTGATAGAAGTATCCCACTCCCCCCACACCTGATCTGTGTGTTTAAATGATGCTGATTGAAATGAGTTTTTCTCTCTAAAATGCTGTATCCAACCACAGAATAATTTTGGAGCATCTTTCCATTTGCATATCCAGGCTGAGAACTGTTGGTGTAGACATGGGCCATCAAAGGAAAGATGGTGCTAGGTGTCAGGTGCCAGGTGTCAACACTGGGTGAGAGTTGTCCAACACTAATAACTTTACCAGTTGGGGTTATCTTCATCTTAACTAAGTGACATCTGCCTCTTGGAGGAACACTGATCAGCTTAGGGAGTACTAACATCATTTTTTATATCTTTTTAGACCCTGGAAGCTATCCTGAATTTCAAATACTCTGGAGGCCCGGGCCACGCTGAAGGATATTACAGGAACCTCTCCCTGGGCCTGCATGTAGAAGTTGAGCCATCTGTATTCTTCACCCGAGTCAGTACTCTGCCAGCAACCAGGTAAACAGATCTCTGCTCTGTGATCACCTTGTTCTAGTCTGACAGCACTGGTTTTGGAATTCTGATCTTGGTATTCATCTTGGACCCACCTCACATCAGATCCAAGCCATTGTGCCAAGTTGCTTAGCCTCCCCAGGACTTAGTTTCTTCATCAGAAAAACAGGCAGTGTATAGAAATGCCTCTTCAGTTAGTTGTGAGTGAATGGGCGTTCACACCTTATAACATGCTGTAATAATAATGTTAACATTGCAACGTGCTTATTTGTGGTCATCATTGTACAGGACATGTTTCCTACTCATTGCCCTCAGCCTGGTCCTGACTCCAGTCTGGTTCAGCTCTCCTGTTAGCAGGGAGCTCAGTAGATAGCCACATGTCTTGCAGACTCCTGGAGGAGCCTAACATCTCTTTCTGTGTCACTTCTGGCATCTTAGTAAGACTTTGTATTACTACTGGCCAGGCTGTCCAGCATCTCAGCACCCCCACTTCATGGGGCTCCCAGTCATCTAGGGCATTGGGTCATTTCTACCCAGGCAGCCCTTCTTGCACAGAAGCTTTCTCTCCTATTTACTTCTCCAGGCCTAGTCTTCCTTCAAGGAGGAAGAAATCAGACAGTGTGTCTGCTTCACACCCAGAAGTGGCCAGAGATACTAGAAGTATTCTTCTCTGAGATGGGAGAGTGACAATTGCTCATCCCAAACTTTGAGCTCTGTTGAACTGGGAGTAGTGAGGTCTGAAAACAGTGGGTGGAGCTCCAGCCGAATGGAGCTCCTCTGTCTCTCAGATTCCTGCCCCAGGTGGGGAGCAGCCTTTGGAAAGCAGGTGCTGATCACCGCTCAGCACTTCCATGTTCTCACGTCTAGTGGTGCCTTACATTATGAGGTAGGACAGAGTGGGTTAGTATTATTTATTCTTAGTAGAGTTAAGGCAGCAGTGATGACCAACACCTACCTGTACAGCCTTGAACATGAGGGGGAGAAGATCACATGCAGTGTCCTCCTTCCCTCCACATCAGCTGCATATTCCACAGTGAGATAGAGGGACGTTGTTGCCTGTGTTAATGTTGATATAAAACTTCCTTTAAAGTGATACAGCCCCAAATAATTAGTGTAGTTTTAGTTTATAGGAAAGACTATTTTTCTTTCCAGCTATTGGAGAATGGCTTCAGCAAGAATTAATGGCTTGGCTTGGGCTTTTTAGCATCACATTTCATCATCTATCACTTTTTCAATCCACAGAGTAATGGTCTTTCTTGCCAAGACTCGCCTCTGTTTTGAATCTGTATAAAGCATCACAGCACTTGCCCCTGGGGAAGCTTCGGCCAGGACTGCTGCCAGACGCTATTAGAGCATTTCAGGCCTTTCTGTGCATTAGGTCCACTCCACCATAAACCTGATGTGTGTTTCTTTCTCATCCCCTTGTCTCCTGCTGCCACTGCTCTTATGAATAGTTCTTTGAAGCAGCACTGGTTGTCACTGAGTTGGGTTTTTTCCCTGTTGGCTTGCACATCATGGCCCCTGCAGCTCTAAGGGACAATTTCAGATGGGAAAAATGCTACCTTGTGGCACACTGCAGACGCACACTGGAAGAGTTGGTGGTTAGCTCAAGTGCTGTTTGGCTCCTGATTACCCAACCTGTTGACCTCATTCTCTTTCCTTTTGGCCTACATATTTCTTTCCCCTGCTCTTGGGAACGAGATTTGATTTATTCTAATCCTTCCTTTCCATTCCTGCTAAGTCTAGTTGATCTCCAAATGCAGTGGATTGAACCTCTGAAATGTCTCCTGATCGCCCTCTGCATTCCACTGCACGTCTTTGTCGTCTTTCCTTGGAACTCTAGAAATAGTTGCCTTCTCGGTCCCTTGCCTCCAGTCTTGCTCCTGCATCATCCTGTAACTACAAATGTTGCCACATCACTGTCTGGCTTGAAGACTTTTGCATTCCTTATTTGATAGAGTTCAAAATCCCTACTGTGATATTCGAGGTACTTAAATATTTGACAGAGACCTTCCTCTTCAGCTCTGTTTGCCCCTAATTCCTCCACACTTCATGTGAAAGACACTTTGCTTCTCACCATCCCTAGGATATGTCAAGACAGTTTACTCCAATGTGCCTTGCATACATCTTTTTCTGAAACTGTTCTTTTTCTTAGGCTGTCACCCCTTCACTTCACCTTTTAGAAAATGTCTGTTTGCCATTGATGATCTGTGTTACCATTTTTGTAAAATTTTCTTGAACATGACTAGGCAGTGTGAGTTGGTCCTTCTGTGGGTTCGCTTGTACTTTGTACTTCTAGTAAAGCACTTACCAGACTATAAACCTTAAACCAACACCTCTAATGTTTCAGGCACTATAGGAAGCCTTCACTCAGGTAAGAGATGGACAGAGCACAGTCCTTGTGTTTCATCAGCCTGATAAAAGCTCATCAGGCAGAAATAATACCAAATGGAAACTTGGATCTACATTAAGGAATGATGAATCCCAGAAATAATAAATAAGTTAATAACTATAAAAGTTTCTTCCCCTAACTTCTTAATTTCTTTAAAAGACTATTGACTGTTTAAAGAAGAAATAATAGCATTTAACTTTGTTGTGTATGTCGTATACTGAAGTAAAATATGTAACGAAAACAGTAGTGCAAAGAACTGGAAAAGAAAGAAGAGAGTGAAAGTGGAGGTTATGTGCAAAGTGTTATCATATTTGAAGTTAGAACGTGATAAGTTAAAGATGCATATTGTAAACTGTGGAGCAACCACTTAGGGTGTGGATAATAAGCCAGAAGAGAGAAAATGGAATGCTAAAAAAATACTTAATCCAAGAAGGGGGGAGAGATGGCAAGAAAGAAGGGGAAAAGAACCATGAACATACAGTCAAACAGGAAACATATAGCAATGTGCTAGAGTGAAACCCACTGTATCAAGAATTACATTAAATGTAAATGGACTAAACACTACATTTAAAAGTGGAAATTAAAAAAGCAAGAGCCAACTGTACATTTTCTACAAGAAATTCACATTAAATATGCATGGTTTAAAAGCAAAAAGATGGGGGAAAAAGATAAGCCATGCAAACACTGATCATAATAAAATTGGTATGGATGTATTAATATCAAGTAGATTTTCAGGAGAAAAAGAGAAAGAATAATTTGTAATGATAGAAGGTTCAAGTCATCAAGAGTACCTAACAATCCTAAATGCAAATTCACTTAAAAACATAACTGCAAAAAAACCTGACACCTGAAGGGAGAAATAGAAAACACCACAATTATAGTTGGATATTTCAGCACTTATCTTTCAGTATTTGATAGAACAAGCAGACAGAAAATTAGTAAAAATAGAGAAAACTTGCACAGTTCTAGTAAACAACTCCAGCTAACTGATATTTATAGAATACCAAATGCTTATATTAGAAAAGTTAAGTGGTTTAAATTTAGTGATATAAGTGTCTACATTAGATAAAGAAGAGAAAAATGTACCCAGAATAAACAGAAGTGAAAAAAATATTAAAGAGTGGATATCAATGAAATAGAAAATGAAAAAAGAATACGTAAAGTCAATGAAACCAAAAGTTAGTTCTTTGAAAAGATTGATAAAATTAATAAACTATAGCCAGGATAATCAAAATTTAAAAAGAAAGAAGACAGAACGCACATTACCAATAAGGAGAATGAAAGAGGGACATCACTACAGATTCTGCAGACATTAAAAGAATAATAAGAGTATATTATGAAAAATCATATTCCAATAAATTTGACAACTTAAATGAAATGGAAAAACATTTTGAAAGACACAAATTACTAAAATTGACACAAGAAGAAATAGAATCTTTGAGATAGTCATACATCAGTTAAAGAATTTAAATTCTTAATTTAAAATTTCTCACAAAGCAAACTTTAGGCTCAGATGGCTTCACTGTGAAATCCATAAAGCTTTTAAAAAAGAAATAATAACACTTTTATAAAAACTCTTCCAGAAAATAGACAAGGAGGGAATACTTCCAACTCCCATTTTATGACACTACCTTAACCCTGATGCCAAGTCCAAACAAAGATGTTATGAGAAAATAAAACTTTAGACGGGTATCCTCATATATATAATTGCAAAAATTCAAAACAAAATATTAACAAATCAACTCCAGCAATATATAAAAGGGATAATGCAACACGACCAGTTTTGGTTTAACCCAGCAACCCAAAGTTGTTTTACCATTGAAAAACCAGTCAGCAGAATTTACCACATTAGCAAAATAAAGGAGAAAAATCATAAGATCATGTCAGTCCATGAAGAAAAATCTTTTGACAAAATTCAACACTTACTTATGATAAAACTCCCAGTAAACTAGGATTAGAAGAGAACTTCAACATCCTGATAAAGGGCATCTACAAAAACCCTGTGGTTATAGAATTAACATTACATTTAACAGTGAAAGGCTGAGCACTTTTTCTCTAAGATCAGGAACAAGGCAAGTATGTCTGCTCTTACCACTGTATTCATTTTCTTGCTAGTTCTAATCAGAGCAATAAGATGAGAAAAGAATTAAAGCTATAAAAATTAGAAATGAAGAAGTACAGTTATTATTATTCACACGTCTTTGCATGATATATATGATCATGTACATAAATATCCTAAGAGATCTACCACCCCAAATAAATTATTAGAACTAATAAGTCAAACTAGCAGGATTGCGGGATACCATGTTAATCTTCAGAAATCAACTGTATTTTTATGTACTAGCAACTAACATTTGAAAATGAAAATTTGAAAATAATACATGCATTATAATAAAAAACACTTAGGGATAAATTTTTAAACATATAGTCTATTTTGAAAATGACAAGGCACAGCTAAGAGAAATTAAAAAAGACTTAATAGGAGAGATATATCATGATTATTGATTGGAAGAGTCAGTTATTGCTAAGATACTGTCTTTTCTCAAATTTGATTATATGTTCAATGCAATCCAAATCAAAATCCCAGCAGGATTTTCTTGGGGAGGGGGGATGT